GCCGAATCAGCGAGCTTCATCGAAATCTTCCCATATTCGAGTCATGATAACGCATCATCCGATTCCCTCACCAGAGCTCCTGCTGACCGAGCGTCCGAGTTATTATGATATCTGTCGTCACTTATTTTTCTCGCCGCCATCGTACGACGGAAATTGCTTATAGAATCATACCACTGTTGCGTGCACACGCGTACCCGCTCGCCCATCCTCTCGATCAGCGAGTAAACTCAATGAATGAAAGAATAATCACCCGTGCACGGTGATCATGTTCGCTCTACGAGGCATGCGAGTGATCTGATCCTGACGCGGCTATTTTTAGTCTCTCTCTCTCTCTCTCTCTCTCTCTCTCCGTCTCCGACAAGCCATCCTCGGCAGAAAAAGCGGAAAAATGAGACATGTCGCAATTTCTCTCTGTCTCTCCACGGAATCGGACGTAAAACTACTTATCGTATGTTCTAATGCGCGCGCACGAATGTTCACCGTAACGTTCGGCGAGATGCATGCGCGCGCGAGCGCGAATATATATCGGCGTACGTGAAATAAAATATACGCTAATATCATGCATGTATGCGGAAGCGAAATTATTCGCCCACTCCGCTATAGCGAATACGTTTCGCCGATGTATACGCGAGACACGCCCGGATACATGCTCTTATTATATGTACTCCCGATTCTTTTATTCGCCGCGGCTTCGTGCGAAATATTGCACGAAGGCGGTCTTTTCCTCGAGAACTATGGAATATATCCTGTCCGTAAAACGCGAACGCGCGGGCATTTTTAGAACCGCGACAATCGTCCCGAAGTCTCACGTTTCAATTACGGTAAAGGTTTAAAGGCGTTTTAAAAAGGCGCTTGCATAGATAGAGTGCTTCGACCTTTGACGACGATAAAAATAATAGACTATATTGAATAATCTTTGTTTTATTTTAAATGTGCGGTATTAACTGACAACTGAATAATCCAGTCTCGTCGAAACCTAAACTATTATTGATTTTTATATTAAACGAATATAGAGTTGTTAAGTATTTATATAATAATAGTGGAAATACACGATCAACCCGACGAGATCCGCGATTAGTATACCATATAAGTACCAATTTCATTTAAATTAAAAATATCAATGCACAATTTTTCTTGCTGTTATATTTATAGATCGGAGCGGCCTATTATTGAAATGATTCAATATGAATTACATACGTAATGTGTAAATTAATTTGTCCGAGATACTCGAGCTGTACGAATTATCCGCGAAACAGTATTTCTAAATATTTCCGCTTTCGCTAAACGATTAATTTGTCTTGAGATAATCCGTTTTGACAGACAAACAAAAAATAATGCGTGGTCATTAATAAATCTTTCGCGATGAAGACTCGCATCTTTGTAACTTGATACTTTTTATATCTCGCGAATTGCAATTAACTGAATCACAGAATTTCGCGAAAATACGACCGTTATGTAACATATCCGGCTTTGTAATATTTTAGATATTGAATTTAACCAAAAGAGCACTTATTCAACAATAATTAAATACGTAGTGACTAGTTTAATATAGAAACAAACGCTCAAAGTTGCACGTTGTCTACGAAACGTTTCGTCTCGGCAGGTTCAACTTGAATGTTGCGGTAACGTTGCGGAAATTTCAGAAACACAGCCACATTTTCACAGCGACACGATATTTGCGTTCGTGTGTGTTTTACGAGATTTGTTATCTTCACGGTTTCTTATCGAGATATACCGAGTTTATTATATAGTCCTTGGTAATTCTATGTTCGTTCGTATCTGAACAAACACGCAATTCTACGCGCAAATAGTAAAAATATGTATAAATATGTATAAGATAGCCGAGAATTGTTAGAAATTTCGCACTAAAAAAATCCTTCGACTAAAATTAAACGAACTCGAAGCCCCGAGAAAGAAAACATGCGACAGAATCATATTCCGCGATTATTTTCAAACTAAACTTTAATTAGTAAAAGATTTTTATCAAAGTGCATTTAAAGCTGTGCACTGTAAGTTAAAAAAAGGATATAAATGGCAAATTCTCCCGATGTTCTTGCTGAGGAATGCTTTTATTGCATTAAACGAAAAGACACTGCAAAACTAAAAAGAAATATACTCGTTACTTCAGAGACACTCTGTATACACGCGGATATTCTGTACTCATGTTGGTGCGTTTATTCGCGAGTAACACAGCAGCTGAAGAAAGCGTCGTTTCTTCAACGAGCAGAAATTAGTTCCAGAGGAAGTAAACGAGAACGAGGTTTCCCGAGAAGCGACTGCTGGTAAATTCAATAGCGCTTCGGTAAATATTAATTCGCAATTCGCGTGAATCGTCAGTTACGCGTTATCGGCTTGGAGATCAGTCGCCGTTGAAAAAGTTGAAGTGAGAATTAAAGCTCGGATGAAGAGAATGGCGTTCGGTAAATTTTGGAATGGGAGAAAACACAGACTGTAATCTTTGTGGAAATTACAGGAAAGGACGAGCGCGAGTGAATGCGCACGCGAGAGTAGTTACCGTGCTGATTAAAAGCCGAATGCAAATGTATTCCACGTCAATAAGACTTTATAATTTGTCGGAAAAAAACAATTTAGCGCAATCGCGCTCGATGTTAAATATACGCTACGAGAAAGCTGGGTTAATCATATTAAGATAATATTGAGACGATTTATTCTCTAAATTCCAACAATAGCAAGATAATTTTTCCCTCTTTTAAATTTTTCCTTCGTGTCTGTTCGTCAATCAGCGCAGATTAATCGAAACCTATTCAGAGCCCTATTCAGAGATAAAAATGTCGTGAGGATTCGCGGTTGTTAAAAATTGGGAAACAATGAAATTTAAAAACAATGAAATTGAAAATTTAGAAACAAAATTACTTGTGCAAATCACGATGAATTCTCGCGATAATAATAAACAACCATGTACCAAGTGAAATTATCTTTATTACGAGCTGCAATAAAGACAAACATTTGGTTCGATGGTTTCGCGTCGACACCTTATCAGCCATACTCGCGAGTAACATCTCTCGTGATATCTCTGGTCGAAGCGCGCTTCGCGATCCGTCGACGGAATGCGATTTCGCGCAGAGCAGTTTCTTTCTTCGGGGGGATCGCCGGCGGCGCGAAGGTGGCTGAAATTTTGCGCGCGCAATTTCGCGCAATCGTTCCTTCGCCGCGGAACGGCGAACGAGGATAAATCGCGGGGCGCGTTTCGCGGTAACGGTAACGCGCTGTGTTTAACGCTAGGAAAAAGTACTCCCCGGCGGCGCGCGTTTCGGACCAAAACGACGAACGCGCGTGCCGTAAACGTGTTTTACGGGCGTTGCTGCTCGGGATATGCGGGTCGACTCTCCCCGGCATTGTCGGGAGCGTCTCTGGAGAGATCGCGTAAAAACGCGCGCTCCGGAATCGAGGCGTAACGGTATACGCCGCGCACTCGCACTCGCGAGTTGGAATTACGGACACATCGAAGGGGGGAGCGGGATAAGAGATGGAGAAAAGAAAAGATAGCCAAGGCTCCCTCGAAATTACCCGCGGAATCTATGATTCAGTCGTCGACGGAGCCTGACTTCGTAACAAGATTGGATTCAACACCTCGCGGCGCTCAATGCTTTTAGCACTCCTTCATATTGAACGAAGCTCGCGGTGCCTACGAGGGGCACCGTGTATACATCAAAGTCTCTTCAGGATAGTGATTGAAAAGCTTCACGCGATCGTCCATCTTGGAGGATTAAAAAAATGTTTGTTCTCAGAAGCCTCGGAAGGAAAAAAAAGGAGCAAAAGATAACGTCGGAATAATTTCCGTGTGGCAATTTTTCAAAGCGGATCTCGCGGGAAAGCGGAGCGATTTCGTTCTCTCGTTTTGTTCAAACACGCGACGGATGGTAACGAGCGCGCGTCTCGCGCGTATCTCGTGAGCCCTCGGATGGAGCAACGAGCGTTAATTGACGCGGCAAAAAGCGAGACACGCGGCTGGGTGCTGCCTCGACGCGACTCGCGAGAGTGACAACGTAAAACCTAACCTGCCACGCAGAAGCCGCCCGCTATCGATCGGTTATAAAGCGCCCTACGCACAAACGGCCAATCGCTCGCTTATTTCTCCCCTTGACCGCAGGAAGGATCGCCGAAATCGATACGCGGGCCCACCGGTCTTTCAACGACGCGTCGGGGATATTGTTCTCACACCGTGGCCACGTTACCGTGATATATCGATGTATCATCGACGGGATTTGTCGCCATCTCGCGCAAATCCAGGCGTCTGTTCTTTATAGCTGCACTGCTGAACTAGTGCAATAAGTTAGAGTGAGAAAAAAATATAGTTGTCTCATTTTAACTTATTGCACCAGTTCAGCAGTGCAGCTGTAAAAAAACAGATTTCATCGGGTATTCGGCATTGTTCCGCGCTATCGGCAACATCGATCGCGACTACAATTGTATCGTGCGTTTTATGTGACGCGACGTTAATCGTCGGAACGCGCAGTATACCAACACGATAATCTATATTTTCCACTATGAATATTAATGTGAAGCACTGAATAGAAAACAGCTCAAAATAGATTTTTGTCGCGGAGAGAGACAATGAAGAGACTCTATAGTCGGAATATCTATCTCTAGCTTGATTCTAATTGTTCGGAACGTTGTATCAAGGCACGAAACGCAATTCAATCTATCTTGCACCATGAAGAAAATATCCATGTACCTTCGACAAATTTTTGTTTTTTCAAGAAATTACCTCAGAGACACAAATTTTAGTCGTATTTTCTAATCGACGAAATAATCAATCTCCAACAACCTTTTCTAATACGGTTTATCATGAATTTCTTCCCCATATAATTTCGATAGAATTATTATTGCAATTTGCGCTGACTTTGATTTTACTTCGGTTTCGACCGTCATCTATTCGTCGTCGCGTTTATATTTATTTATACATGTCATGCCGATTTGCTGTTGTTCTACCAGTCGCGATTAACTGCTAAATCGAGCGAACGTAACTCTGTTCACAGCCACGTCAGCGGTGATCTTAAAAACGGAGAACGAGCACCATCATCTGGCGAGTCTATCCGGGGATAATATCCTTGGAACAGGGGTGAGGATAGGACGCGGCGAGGACGCAGTCGCGAGTGGTAGCGGCCCCGTTATGGATTCGGCGCAATCGGCCATGATGAAGCAAGCGGACTACGTCGTAGGTCAGTGAACTAGCTGGGCGATTTTTTACTGCGAATACGTAACAAACGTGCACACCTCTCTCCGATCGCGAACGGACTCGTTTCGATCTCGACGCCGTCGAATATCGTTTCGACAATTACAGCTGTCGCATGTAGCCGTGACGTGGCGAGTGTGAGTGTGAGCAGCGTGAGTGGCCGGTGAGAATCCGCGATGCGCGAACTTCGGTAGTCACGATGGTGGCGTCGCGCGATGGAAAAGTGCTGCTAATTTTAGACAATTTTTAGCGGAGCTAAAAACGCTGCGCGAAGCACTCCGAGCTTTTGTGCGAAAGCCAGCTTCGTCAGATAATAGCGCGTTTTATAATCCGAGTATAATCCACGAGTCCGAAGGGAAGAGATATGAGGAGATATTAAAGTTCGTGAGTTTCAGAAAAAGAGGATTCGCGCACGTCGAAACGTGGCTTTTATTATTCGAGGAACGCTCCAAGCGGTCTATGGAAAATCACCGTCTAATGAAAATTGCTTCGTTCCGAACAAACGCTCCGTACCGAATGAAAATCCCACGCGTAATAATTAACATTTATTTCTATGAAACTCACATGTACCAAGAGCGAAACCAACGAATTCGAAATTTCAGTGGAAGAACTTTCACGTCGATAAGGCACCAATAACGCTTTTCTGCGTGAACTTTCGAAAATTGCATCTGCTACTTCCAAATCAATACCGTAGAACCAGGTGGAAAAAAAATTGTGGTCTAAAGTTTCCTCTGTTTTATACGATTATGGGTAATCGGCCGCGTTTTCAAAAAATTTTGCAAACCGTATTATCAGTGTTAACTTCAGGAAGCGACTAGCTCGCTACACGAATCGCGATTAGATAAAAGGCGATTAAGCAAATCCTAATCAGTTATGAGGAGAATGATAAGTGTAACGAAATAAGCGTAACATGATTCTCCCGGTTTCCGCGGGTTTCTGATTTATTTCGAAGAGTTCTTAATCAGTCGTTCTCGAAGCTACCGGAAGATACCGAATAAAACGCGCGAAACGCGATTGTGAAACCGGTGGATAGTCATCATGTCGTCATCCTAATTGTTTGCGCGACTTTATCAACGCCTAGCTATATTTGGATTTCAATTCGAGTACAAATGCATTCTGTTTGCAGTAAAATGAGCATATAGGTTTACTACAGATACGTTGTCAAAGACAACAAAAATATTTCAAAATGTCCAGATTGTTATATTTCTTAATATCATGTGCTTCGGCGACTATGCCGCCATATATAACTCGCAAATATATGAGCAAAGTTCAATTTCTTAAAACTAATGTGATACGTTATTAAAAATCTTAAAAATGTTGAGCATTTCTTACGAAGGATATAATTTGTACTTACGTCAGATGTTTCTTAGTATCCGATCGTTTTTGTCATGTTTGCCATTTTCCATTCGCGTTATATCAATATTAATAAAGCTTTTATATGCATACACATGTATTTCTCATTAATATCAATTCGAATTAATTTTAAAATATTGATATGAATTTTATTGATATGAATAAAATATTGATTAGAATACTCGGGCAAAATTATATATAAAAAAAACTGGAAGCTAATTTTAAATGTATATAATTTGTTATTGAATATCGCAAAATATAAGCAATATAAAGACTCGATATCGAATGTGTCATCGTGTGTCAAAGAGATATCGTTAAAATATCAATATATCAGTATTTCACTGATTAATTTAAGTATTAATCTTGGTGCTATATCGTTTAAGAAATAAGCAAATTAGGTAAACATTACAAAACGTGACAAAAACATCGATTACCAAAGAAATTTATGTAAATTAAAACTAACTTCAATAAATCGTTCGTTTTAGCATCTAGCATGTCGTAACTGATGACACTAGACGAAAAATGACGTGAAATCCGAAACAAGTTACGAATCTCTCGTGCAATTGGTATCGCTGTCGGTATAAATTTTTACTCTCGGTGCGTATGCCATTATAAATTTTCGCGTCAATAAAATTACTTTGTCGTTACGTTGCATTGTATTGCTATAACACCATATCAAATTTGTTTTTCGACACAATATATAAAAAGATATTTTAATATTTGAATGTAATCGCGTAATACCAGAAATATTTTTTTAATATGAATTGAGATTTATATAAATAGTTATGTAGAAAATATGTGTATCACACAAGAGAATAAATTCTATTTCGTCATGTAAATAAATTCTCATTTCAACGATTTGAAATGTCATCAATCTAAATTTTCCGTTTGAAAATTTATTATATCAAAATGTCATCGATATGTCCAATTTATATTGCAAACGAGCTTTTTTATCCTATTAATACAAATAGCAACATCAAAATGAATATACTATCGATTCATTGGAAAAAGAGAAAGTGACCGACGATTGTGATTCGACGAACGATGATTTTATTAATGTTTATAATGCCGACAGCGCATTTCCAATGCGAGAGACCTCGAACGCGCGTGATCAAAGTGTATGGTTAAATCAAATAAACGTCATGACACAACACGTTAGCCAATCGATACTAATCACATCTGCATTATGTTACAGACGTTGTGCTACCAACGGTCCTAATTGCTTTGCTATTCGTCGGCAATGCGATCATCGTTTATATCATCTTCCAGTACAGAAAGAGGTAAGTGAACTCATTCGCTACGTATGTTATTGAAAAGAAAAAAACTATATGTATACTAGATATAAATTGAGAATCAGAGAGAATGATGACCGATAACGAGCGTGTAATCTTTGATACATCGATAATCTCGATCTTCGAGTAAAAAAATTAATCAGCAAACTTAATCAGTGATAGGATCTATAAGATTTTTTATCTATATATATATATATATATATATATATATATGTATAAGGAAAGTTTGTTTTCTAATTTAGATTTCATTTTATTATCTTCCAAATAATTATACTTTATCTTTATTTCTATGAAATTACTACAAATTATACCGTTGTTAAAATTGAAAATTAAAAACTGAGAAGATTTGAATAAAGTTAAACTTAAAAAACATAAATTGTTATAAGTATTTACTTCCTCAATTAAATTTTAGGACGAACTATATTTCATAGAAGCTTTTAAATTGAAATATCGTTTATAAAAATACATGAGAAGGGCAAATTTGATAAATTTTTGTTAAAAAAAAAAATAAAATGTTCAAAGAATCCTTTACTCTGCTTATAAGTTTATATTTTCTTTGAGATAGCCTATATAAAAAAAATGTGTGTGCTGTGTGTCGAAATATTTGTTGGATCTCACGTCATTTCATGTCATATCAAATATACATGGATAGGCGAGACTAAATTAGAGTGAAACTGGACAATTTTACAGAATTAAATAAAGTTTACTATTAATTATATTATCAATGTATTATCGAATAAAATTGATTGAATATATTTTATGCACATACATTATTCGTGATAAATTATATTAATTACAATTATTCCATCGTACTTTTTTAATAAACAAATCTATAGTAATATATTGTGTTCTATGAACGCACTTATTTTCTGAACCAGTTTCTTATAATATTTAACCTTGGAGGAGAAAAATATGGGGGATAAAAATAATAAAACAAATTTAATATTCCAGGGTTAAATATTTGCATTAATCTATCTTAGCCCATCCATTTTAGCAGATCTGTGAGTTGTGTTTATCAACGTTTCTTGTGCTGTTCAAGTCTTAACTTCTTTTCATAAATTGTAAACACTGTCCAGAAAGGACGTTACGGATAAAACATCCAACGGACAAATGATGTATATTGCAATATCTCTTTTTGTTAACGTATATTCGACTTGTTAATTTTTATTTCCCGATGTCTCGCAAGATACTCATAGATCCATTATCTCAGAATTCAAATAAAAATATATTTATCACTCACCAATACGATGCAGCTACTCGACACTGACCTGTAACACAAAAATATTCTCTTTGTAGCAGCATTCAACACAATCAGTATTGAAATTTCATAATTACTACACGCGTTGGTTAAAAAAAAGTCCGTCAGTTTTAAAAGGATATTCACCGGAAGACTTGCAATTCCCAACAAGCGATTAATGAATATATGACGCGCAGTTACTAAATGTGACGAATCCCTAATAAACAATAAATTATTTACCTTGTCTGTTGATGAGCGATGCCCGAGCGAGTTCCTCTCGCCCCGTCCTTCTCAGCTAATCCATAGCACACACGCGACAAATCACTCGCGACCCGGAAAAAAATCAGATTCATATTAATTATTATAATAACCTCGAATCGCGCGGACTTTGCACGGCACTTCCGGTATTCGCAGCATACGACGCGTAATACTCGCCGGTAGTCGACGTTGATCTGTAACATAAAATTGTTCTCTTTATAGCAGCGCTCAACATAATCAGTATTGAAATTTTCATTAATACACGCATTAGTTAAAGAAATTCGTCCGTTCTAAAAGATTCTATTCACCGGAAGACTTGCAATTTTCCATAAGCGATCAATTAACATATCATGCGCATTTATTAAATATACCGAGCCCCAAATGAGCAATAAATTATTTACCTTGTCCGTTGATGAGCGATGCCCGAGCGAGTTCCTCTCGCCCCGTCCTTCTCAGCTAATCCATAGCACACACGCGACAAATCACTCGCGACCCGGAAAAACCAATCAGATTCATATTAATTATTATAATAACCTCGAGTCGCGCGAACTTTGCACGGCACTTCCGGTATTCGCAGCATACGACGCGTAACACTCGCCGGTAGTCGACGTTGATCTGTAACATAAAATTGTTCTCTTTATAGCAGCGCTCAACATAATCAGTATTGAAATTTTCATTAATACACGCGTTAGTTAAAGAAATTCGTCCGTTCTAAAAGAATATTCACCGGAAGACTTGCAATTTTCCATAAGCGATCAATTAACATATCCTGCACATTTATTAAATATAACGAGCCCCAAATGAACAATAAATTATTTACCTTGTCCGTTGATGAGCGATGCCCGAGCGAGTTCCTCTCGCCCCGTGCCTCTCAGCTAATCCATGACGCACATACACACGCGCGACGATCACTCGTGACCCAGCAAAAACTTATTAATCAGATACATGCAATTATAATAAATGCAGATCGCGCGGACTTTGCACGGCATTTCCGATATTCGCAACATCCGCACACGACGCGTGCTTCGGCGAAGCAAAGCTTACGAAAAGAACCACGACGAGAGGTGGACGAAGAGATGCGCGATGTTCCGCGATTCGATAAACAAACAACATCTCACGATAAGACGCCCAATGAAAAAAAATTCGGAGGTTGCGCCGCCAACTTGGCGACGCCACTATGTGTGCACCTGTTGCACTTTCTAACTGTCTTCGCGCACCTCGGAATCCTCGGAATCGAGATATCTCTTTCGGCGCATTGAACGGCGAATTCGGACACGAGATGCGACCTGATCGGCGCCTAATAAAGGAATCCACCGCGAATACTCGGGAGGACGCTTATATATCGCGACACGACACACCAAGGTCAACGAAAATCACGATACATAAACATTCACGAGACGTTTCTAAGGGACGATCTCCGCTCGACCTTTGTACGTTAACCCGTACTTCCCGTATCGAAATGCGTAGAAAAACAGATTCACGGTTAAACATCGGATATCGTATACGATATATGCGGTGTACCGATATCTGCGCACGGCGAAGAAAGCATTTGACGGCGAAATCGGACACGATGCGCGAGCTAACCAAAATATTCGCCACGAAATACGTTCGAGGGAACGTTAAATTATCGTAATTGTCGTACGGCGCTAAAGAGTTGGCAAAAATCACGATACGCGAAGGTCCGTGAGAAAACGACTTGAAAAAATGGCCGTCGCTAGTCGTTTGTTCGCACGACGGATTCCGATCGCCGAGTCTCGCGAAATACGCGACGACTGATGCGCGAGCGTCGACTTTACCTTACCCGATCGACAATTATTCAGATCTGAAACTAATGACGATCTTAATTACCGTCCAAATGTGCCTCACGACTAGGGTTGCCAGATGCGAAATGCGACTATTTCCGGGATATTCTTTAGGCGACGGTTGAAAAATAGGTTAGAGAACTTTATTTAAACGTGAGAGATAGATAGTGGTAAGACGGTAAAGAGATATCGCCGTGTACTTGCAAGCAATAAATGCGTGACTTAGGTGACCAGCAGAGAACAGTTTAGACATAAACCGTACGATTGAATGTTTTTACTTTTTTAATTTTTTTTTTTTTACTACACAAATGGCTTACTTGACATTTTCTCGGGTAGCACGTCAAGTTTTTTGACCTTATAAATTCCGATAATTGATCTCACATTTCTTTCTAGTACCAGTTAAAAGCATGAATATTATGATTATAATTTTGTTGAAATTCTGATTTTCTGGGAGACGGGACAAACTTAAGAAAATTCTTGGATAATTCCGGAAATCCCGGCCATTTGGTAACTTTACCTATTTGGCTACTCACGACGCAGCTCTCGACCTTCTCCGGTCCGCTCGATGCTGGGGGGCTCGTTGCTGCTAACCGAAAGATTCAAACGCGTAATGCGACTAGGGCCCTCACACATGGAACGACATAGATGCATATCCATACATAAGAGTTTATGAACCAATGAGCATCTAAATAAAGATAGCATGTAAATGCTATTGTACAAATCAATATGGCGACTAAATGCACGATGCTCATTGGTTCATAAGTTCTTATGCATACGCGTTTGTCATTCCGTGTGTGAAGCCCTTAAGTTCACCTCGACGCCACACGACACGTCGCGACATGTTCGATATGTCGATTCGTTAGCGTGAAACAGGTCGACTCGGATGAATAAATAACCGAATAAACAAATGGCCGAATAAACCAATAACTAAATCCGACACTCCTGGTGACCTCGCGTGACTAGTCTCAGAAACGCGTAATCCTGCGAAATGCACATATCTATCAGTAAACCATCGTGTATCCATCGATTCGACACGTCCTTACTTTTCGCTGTCCGGAAATACATCGCGATGTCGCCCAATCTCGATCCCGTGCTCTTCTGCGGTTGCTTTGGCGAGTCAACGAATTTGCGGGAAAATATAATTAGATCAATAGAAAACGCTGGACAGCTACACGCGAGTGAACACACGTAAGCTAATGAATATCGTCGAAACAATGACCATATCGTTCGTAAATGTCGCAAGAAAATATTCCGCTCGTCCACGAAATATTTTGAAACGCGCTCGAAGCGAAGAAATCGAGCTTTGACGAATTATATCGCGGTAATCGCGCGGCTGGCGTCTCATTAATTACGCGAATCGCGAGTTAATTTCAATTAAATTTATATTCATAAACCGAGCGATTTCGATGTCTTTCGGAATTCCGTAATGCGTTATAATTACCAGGCAAGGTGATAATTCACGCCGCTGTTGCCTATCGGAGTCTCGCCGTGAGAATGACAAGGACGACGCGATGTACACAAACATAGCGGCCCGGCCGGCCGGCAAAAACAAGCGCCAGCTGCCGTGTACCATTGTACTCGAAATAGTAAACAAAATAGTAAAAAAGACACCGCTCTGTGTAGGAAAATATCTTATACATCGTATTCCGAGAAACAAATAGTAACGAAAGAAAGTAGAATAACAAGATAGGACCGTTTATCTCATTCATGATCAATGCCTGTTGACATCTTTTATAATCGAATGTAGTGCGCACATGAATATCGAAAAATATTCATACATATATATTCGCGAATATTACCAAAGTGATAAATGATAAAAACAAATAGATGCTCTAATTGTATCACATGAATTGTCTATGTAATAGGTATTATAAAGTAAGAATTTCTATATGTCCTAGCAAACACAATATTACATGTAACGTGCATGTTAGTTGTAATTTCCTACTCAACAATATAACTGTTATATAACACATATGTTATGTAACAATTATATTGTTGAGTAGGAAATTAAAACTAACATGCACGTTACATGTAATATTGTGTTTGGTGGGGTCTAAATGCGAAGAAACGCAAAATTCCTCATATTATTTACACGCACCAAGGAATACAAAAATAGTATTTAACAAATACATACTACTAGCGTATTACTGCTTTCTTGTACTTTAGAGGAGACTGTGTCGTGCTGGGACGTGAAGTTAGCACGACATTTTTTCAATTTCGATTTTTTGGTATTAAGAATACGGAACTCTTTTTTTATTTTTATCAGGAACTGTAGAACTATGAAAAATGCTACTGGAACTGACATAGTTGTTTAATAATTTTTGAAACGTGCCAACTTCATAGACACATCTAAATATACAAGATTTAAAAATCCGCTGTGTTAAATGTATACTGCATATTCGACTAAATTACATACGCATGATTGAAATGAATTGACATGCAGACGGGAAAACTAAATAAAATTTTCTTTGCATTTCAGAAAACTCCCGGCCGTGACGCAGGGCGAAGAGATGGCTCTTCGGGGCCCGGCTGACGTGCCACAGGTGTGATTCCAAGGGTCCGGACTAATCGCGCACGTGGACACCGGTTAGCTGCGAGAAGAACTCGATGTCCATGTGATGATCGGAAGCCGTCGTGGGCCGTCGTGCCGGCGGGAATCGAAACCAACAGGAGAATCTTTGAAATCCTCACGACAATTCCGCGCAATTAGCCGAGGCCGTGACGCTGGAAGAAACGAAGAAGACTCGACGTGGTCTTGGCTGCGCATTTAGCGCGAAACGTGGCTGCCCGAATCTACGATCAACTCTCTCGCACATTCTTGCGCATTTTCAATTCGGTGGAAACTAAAAATCCGAATCGAACAACGAAAGACAGGATAAGCGTCCACGCTTTGCGCTTCTCTCGTGCATTTCACGCTCTAAATGTATCCGAGGCTGATTATCGTTTTACATTCGATGCGCCCTTGAGCTACGCTCTTGCGGATCTCTCGGAGAGACTTCCGGTGTTCAGCGAGACGGATGGCCGCTTTTGGGGGCAAAATGCGTTGCCAAAATAGGACGCGCACGGGCGCGCGTCCAAGGCCTGATAGGCATGAACGGACTTATGACCGGTTCGATACTGTGTAACTCTCGCGAGCCTATTACAACATGACTTTACATAATACAAGCACACACACACGCGCACGCATACACACATATACACAGACATACACAACATACTTACGTTACTGTATTATAATATATAAGCAGATAATATATTCTATACTTCGTCCAAATTTGTGAATAAGTTGAAAATAAACGAACGTTTTCTTAGTATCTGCCTACTTTTGTCATTAATTAATGACTTTACCATTAACTTAACGCAATTGTTAACTTATCAACTTGATTATCCTAGAGCAAAATAATTGCTAGCAGTAAAATAGAAAAAAGAATAATTGATCAGAATTATTAAACGACTCTTCCTTTGACATTTGATTCACTTATATTCTTTTCTGATTTCATTTACAATGTTTACTTATATGTTTATTCGCTGTTAGTAGTTATCCCTGGTTGGAAATGTAGCATACGACAAAATAATAAAAATATTATGCACATATATAAAAGTATCATATAAAAGTATATATAAAAAAGTATATATAAAAGTATCATATATAAAAATACTTACAATACATTTTTACACATCTGTTTATATTGGAAATATATAGAATAACTTTGAAAAAAGAATTCTCTCTGTTTAAAAAAGATGTTTCCACGCATGTTCTTAATAAAAATATTTACAATTACTTTGTAGTTCAAACTAACACATTCAAATATATTTAGGAATATTTCTGTAAAGGTTCACCTAAAATCTCCTCTAAGACGTAAACAACTTCCCATCGTTGCGTCTTCGTCTTCTAATATTTCCGAGAAAGACATCGTTCCCGGTAGAAATGACAGGAAATCTCCAAGTTTCCTTGTGATTTTCATCTAGATGACAATTATATATGATTATAAATGAAGGATTAATATATATATTATATATATATTATAATTCCGCTTTAAATATTTTTTAGGAGCGGAATTATTAATAAATACATAGACTTTGTACTCTCAGGTCTTTTACTTTCCACGTAAAATATTACAATTGAAACAACAAAATTTATATTCAAATTAAACTTTTACTATCAATTAAAAAAAATATCTATACTAATTCTTTTAATGTACACATAATATATAATCCAGACATATAAAAACACATTTATCCATGATATATAACTCACAATATATAAAAACAAAGCAAATTAAATTCCGACAAAAAATCGTCAAATATGCGATTTTACTTAACATCTTCCAGCAGCTATTCAATATTCTAAAGAATAGCTTAAATAAAGAGAAAAAATAGAAATTTTATTTTTAGTAATCATATTATTTCAATCAAGCTAATATATTTCATCTTACCAAACCATTTTATGTGGTTCTTCTGACGTAAAGTTTCACATACTTGATCTTCAACCATCAATCAGAAATGAGATACTGACAAAGGAAGCTAAGCAAAATACAATCAGTTAGCTGACTTGGCTCTCTGTTGTCTATTCAATTGTAACTCAATATGATATAACTTCTATATAATATAAAAAATATACAAAGTAATTAGCTGAAATGCTTGGTATGGATCTTCACAGTAGTTATATGGTTGCATAGCATCTTCAAGAATTTATCATCAAATCTGTGCTAAAATGATTAACAATAACCTGTGAGAACTGTGATAGATCATGCCTCTGCAAAGATTTCAGATAGTACCACTTGCCAGCTTTATTTGATAAATCTAGCAATTGTAGCACTCTTAAGAAGAAAGTAAGAAAAATCAACAATTATATTTTAAAGTAATTTAAAGACAAAATTTTTAAATCTTTTAATATATGAGATATATCACATAGATATCAATCATGATGTTAGATACCAATTTTAAAGTTCAAAATTTATACAAATTAAAACGGAGTGTACAAATGATAAAATAAATAAAATATATTCCTAAGGAAGCATTATGTTTTTAGTTGCATATCTTTCTTCTTTAATACATACCTGAAAAATATATGAGATTCATGAAGTGGTAAAAGCAGCAATACAAATGAGATATTGTATATGAGCTATTCCAATGCTTTGTGTGAAGCATGTAATAAAAAATATGAAGTTAATTGTCTTAGAAATGTTTCAATCTCTCTATTTAATGATTCATTTAATGTAACATCTTCAATAACACATTCTAGGCTGACAGAATTCTTAGCAAATAATAAGTTATCAAAGTCATTGAGGAGTGAGGACAGTTCCATTAACTTTTCCATACCATTCTGACCTAGACAGATTAAAAATATAGTCAGAAATAAGATATATCAAGTATTTTTCTTACTGTGATTTAGTTAATATATTTTCCTCTAATAGCTCCACTAACTTTTCCATACCATTCTGACCCAGACAGATTAAAAATACAGTCATAAATAAGATATATCAAGTCTTTTCTTACTCTGATTTAGTTAATATATTTTCCTCTAATAGCTCTATTAACTTTTCCATACTATTCTGACCCAGACAGATTAAAAATATAATCAGAAATAAGATATATCAAGTATTTTTCTTACTGTGATTTAGTTACTATATTTTCCTCTAACAGCTCCACTAACTTTTCCATACCATTCTGACCTAGACAGATTAAAAATATAGTCATAAATATAAGATATATCAAGTATTTTTCTTACTGTGATTTAGTTAATATATTTTCCTCTAATAGCTCCATTAACTTTTCCATACCATTCTGACCCAGACAAATTAAAAATATAGCCATAAATAAGATATATCAAGTATTTTTCCTACTATGATTTAGTTAATATACTTTTCTCTAATAGCTCCATTAACTTTTCCATACCATTCTGATCTAGACAGATTAAAAATATAGTCAGAAATAAGATATATCAAATATTTTTTCTACTAAAAAGATTTTTCTACTAAAAGATTTAGTTAATAACTTTTCTTTAATAGTTCTTCTATAATGGTTGCAAGAATAAAAGTCCTTGCGCAATATCAGGCAAAGAGAAAGGCGATAGAAATAAAGAATAAGAAATTATCGTCACCGATGCACAATGATGCTATAGTGATAAAAACTATCCGATCGGAACGTTCAAGTTATATCGGCTACTTCATAATATTCATAATTGATCTAATCGAACATAAACCATTTCTTTACCTCTGACTGCCGGTGGCGCTCAGCTTCTTTCCCAGTGCCTGCCGTGCACTGACAATCTTTTAATTTATTATAAAATGTATCTGGAATCATGTGGAATTATATGATTTTGAATTATATGATGTGGAAGTATATGCTTTTTAAAAATTTTTCTAAAAATTAAGAGGAGTTAAACTTCATATTTTTATGCTTTTCTGTCTAGTCTATATTTGTATGTCGAGAAAAAATAAAAACATTTCATACCAATTTTCCATTTAAACGTCCATTAACAATATCAACAAGGTAATATTAACAACAATATCGACAAGGTAATAATAAAAACTTTCAAGCGTGAGTAAATTTTCGTATTGGCAAAGGAGCCACAAGAGACTGGCAGTAATATAGGAGAAATGATAATATCGACTGTTTTAACTACGCCACCGACGAGAAAATACTAAAGACTGTCAGCCTTGGGAAAATTTTCGTATCGTCAAGGGGCCCCGAAGGGCCTGGAAGTAATTGAGGGGAGATGATAATACCGACTGCTTCAGCTACACTACAGATAACGGCATTTATACCATATATTTCAAATACCATGGTAATATAAATTACCAACGATATGTACATGTGCGTCACGCACACTTTAAATGCAACATATGCACACGGGCACATACTGTGGTAGAAAATGCCTGCCGGAGTACAAATAAATATTGACGTAACGCTGAAATATTTTAAGAAAATAATTTTGAATACAAAATATCATCTTTATCATATATTTATACGATATATATTTATACGATATAAATTTTCATGATATTATATATAGTATTACCAGAGAGTAACCTGAGAGCGGCCAATACGACATTTTCTGCGACACCGACTTTCCGCACTGGGAAAGGACGCCATCTGCATCCATTTTGAGAGGGGAACTACAATAGTACATCCACTTTCAGGTCTCGGTGGTAAAATCTGCATATGGTGGAAGTCCATGCTACATCCACTTTCAGGCGGTTTATGTCCGTGCTGCAATGACAGTTGCCATCTCTATGCCAGACTATGCCCGGTGGTCTAAAAAGAGCGGCAGAGAGGGGGAGAGAAGCAGAAAAAATAAAAGTACGTATTAAATGTTAAATCTTCGAATATATATTGCCGTATCAAAGTCTCTTCTATAATAAACAATTTGACATGTATGGAGACGCATCATGTATCGTTGTCCGCGTCCCGTTCACTTCGTCTTGTTTTTTAATTCAGCATCCCGTCCGCTCCGGACATTCGCTCGTGGCATTGACAGTGGCCGTCGGTGAGCATTCGATCCGCTCGGAGGAGCACATGTTATTCACGTAATTAACGTGACGAGACTCCGATTATAAATATCCCGCGAGTCGACGAAATATTTGAACTTTTAAAAAAAGCATCAAAGAAAATCACGTTAATGTTGTCATGGGTAAAATCTCACCCCGGTATATATTTTCTTATTTTCGAAATAAAAAAAGCCAAACGAATGCAATTAAATGTTATTTATCATCATTGAATATTAAATGAAAAGTAGAAGAGTTATTGTCCGCAGCGGATAATCTCCCTGTATAAAATGTCGAACTGAAACATATTAAAAAGTATTGACATTTTGAATACGTCTGAATTCTGCTTTCTGATCCGAAGAAAGGGAAAATAAAAAGTATTAGTTCCCATTAAATTTCACCGCGCTAAATGCGAGATGGCAGTAGTGAATGCTTCGCATTAACAAGGATTCAATTCGTTTCAAATATGCCTTGTATTCAATCGCAATCGATAATTTTTAAATGCGAACTTTCGTATTGAAAAATATTCACTTCTTCTCCTAATTGTTTTCGGATTCAGAGGCATACAAGATTTTCACGTTCTATTCCCCGTCGCATTAAAAAGTATTCACCCGCGATCCAATCTGAGAGCAGAATTCACGACAAAATCTCGTGAATGCGAAACAATACTTTTAAATACGACATTTTATACAGGACTAATATTTAATAAGAGCGCGACTAAATTCGCACAGGATGAAATTCCATTCTTTAACGCTACCATGACCTTTAATTATTCTCTGAAAACGGTGTCACAACAACTTACACTCTGTACAATTAGTTGCTAACACATTTTCTAATCGTATACATTCCTCTTTAATTAACATAACAAATGTTAACAAATGTCCGATGCTTCGACAGAGTAATTTTCTTTATTTTCAGTAATCAATAAATAGAGTGCATCAATGTCGCGTACAGTTGAAAGGCCTCCTCGCATTCCTCTCGTCGTTTAGAAACCTTCGAGAAAACAAGAGACGCTCAAAGGCAAGTCTCTCTTGCTTCAACCGCCGTCGAGGCCCGCAATGTTTACATCGCGCCGATTGTATTGATCGGCTCGCGAGCGACGACACTTTTTGCCCTTCGTATTATAATACTCGCGCACCTCATGTATTCGACCTCATTCCATCAGCAGCAGCCATGCGCGACGCTCTCGTCACTTCCGTCTCGTGTAATTAAAAGAAATATATCTCGTCGGTCCTCGAGATACTCAATCGGCATCGCGTCGGCATCTCATTCATTAACTATACGGTCGAATTGAGCCGTTTAGGAGATACCGAAGGTTACATTTTTAAAATTTAAGTTAATTTTAATTGAAATATGAATTTAAATGTTCATATCTCCGCTTCTACTGGGAATTGAGAGTCGAAATTTATGGTGAGAATAGGTTGATACAGGACTATATTGAGGCAAAAGCGCGTTCCTGTATCTTGAGCCGTTTAGGAGATACCGAAGGTTACATTTTTAAATTTTAAGTTAATTTTAATTGAAATTTGAATTTAAATGTTCATATCTCCGCTTCTACTGGGAATTGAGAGTCGAGATTTATGATGAGAATAGGGTTGATACAGGACTATATTGAGGCAAATGCGCGTTCCTGTATCTTGAGCTGTTTAGGAGATACCGAAGGTTACATTTTTTAATTTTAAGTTAATTTTATTTGAAATTTGAATTTAAATGTTCATATCTCCGCTTCTACTGGGAATTGAGAGTCGGTATTTATGGTGAGAATAGGGTTGATGCAGGACTATATTGAGGCAAAAGCGCGTTCCTGTATCTTGAGCCGTTTAGGAGATACCGAAGGTTACATTTTTAAATTTTAAGTTAATTTTAATTGAAATTTGAATTTAAATGTTCATATCTCCGCTTCTACTGGGAATTGAGAGTCGAAATTTATGGTGAGAATAGGGTTGATACAGGACTATATTGAGGCAAAAGCGCGTTCCTGTATCTTGAGCCGTTTAGGAGATACCGAAGGTTACATTTTTAAATTTTAAGTTAATTTTAATTGAAATTTGAATTTAAATGTTCATATCTCCGCTTCTACTGGGAATTGAGAGTCGAAATTTATGGTGAGAATAGGGTTGATACAGGACTATATTGAGGCAAAAGCGCGTTCCTGTATCTTGAGCCGTTTAGGAGATACCGAAGGTTACATTTTTAAATTTTAAGTTAATTTTAATTGAAATTTGAATTTAAATGTTCATATCTCCGCTTCTACTGGGAATTGAGATTCGAAATTTATGGTGAGAATAGGGTTGATACAGGACTATATTGAGGCAAAAGCGCGTTCCTGTATCTTGAGCCCTTTAGGAGATACCGACGGTTACATTTTTAAATTTTAAGTTAATATTAATTGAAATTTGAATTTAAATGTTCATATCTCCGCTTCTACTGGGAATTGAGAGTCGAAATTTATGGTGAGAATAGGGTTGATACATTTCCTAAAAGGAAATTTTGGTAAACTTTAACCTTCGATATCTCCTAAACAGTTAGAGATACAGGCTTCGGACAGGTACCAAATTAAAGCCCTTTCAAAACCCTACATTTTGGACTACAATGACGACCCTCTACTCCCAATAGAAGCGGAGATATCGACGGATGAAGGCTGGATATCGACGGAGAAAGGTTAGAAAACTTTAACCTTCGATATCTCCTAAACGGTTAGAGATACAGGCTTCGGACAGGTACCAAATTAAAGCCCTTTCAAAACCCTACATTTTGGACTACATGACGACCCTCTACTCCCTAGCGAGATATCGACGGATGAAGGCTGGATATCGACGGAGAAAGGTTAGAAAAACTTTAACCTTCGATATCTCCTAAACGGTTAGAGATACAGGCTTCGGACAGGTACCAAATTAAAGCCCTTTCAAAACCCTACATTTTGGACTACAATGACGACCCTCTACTCCCAATAGAAGCGGAGATATCGACGGATGAAGGCTGGATATCGACGGAGAAAGGTTAGAAAACTTTAACCTTCGATATCTCCTAAACGGTTAGAGATACAGGCTTCGGACAGGTACCAAATTAAAGCCCTTTCAAAACCCTACATTTTGGACTACATGGACGACCCTCTACTCCCAATAGAAGCGGAGATATCGACGAATGAAGGCTGGATATCGACGGAGAAAGGTTAGAAAACTTTAACCTTCGATATCTCCTAAACGGTTAGAGATACAGGCTTCGGACAGGTACCAAATTAAAGCCCTTTCAAAACCCTACATTTTGGACTACAATGACGACCCTCTACTCCCAATAGAAGCGGAGATATCGACGGATGAAGGCTGGATATCGACGGAGAAAGGTTAGAAAACTTTAACCTTCGATATCTCCTAAACGGTTAGAGATACAGGCTTCGGACAGGTACCAAATTAAAGCCCTTTCAAAACCCTACATTTTGGACTACATGGACGACCTCTACTCCCATAGAAGCGGAGATATCGACGATGAAGCTGGATATCGACGGAGAAAGGTTAGAAAACTTTAACCTTCGATATCTCCTAAACGGTTAGAGATACAGGCTTCGGACAGGTACCAAATTAAAGCCCTTTCAAAACCCTACATTTTGGACTACAATGACGACCCTCTACTCCCAATAGAAGCGGAGATATCGACGGATGAAGGCTGGATATCGACGGAGAAAGGTTAGAAAACTTTAACCTTCGATATCTCCTAAACGGTTAGAGATACAGGCTTCGGACAGGTACCAAATTAAAGCCCTTTCAAAACCCTACATTTTGGACTACATGGACGACCCTCTACTCCCAATAGAAGCGGAGATATCGACGAATGAAGGCTGGATATCGACGGAGAAAGGTTAGAAAACTTTAACCTTCGATATCTCCTAAACGGTTAGAGATACAGGCTTCGGACAGGTACCAAATTAAAGCCCTTTCAAAACCCTACATTTTGGACTACATGGACGACCCTCTACTCCCAATAGAAGCGGAGATATCGACGGATGAAGGCTGGATATANAGTCTATATTGAGGCAAAAGCGCGTTCCTTTATCTTGAGCCGTTTAGGAGATACCGAAGGTTACATTTTTTAATTTTAAGTTAATTTTAATTGAAATTTGTATTTAAATGTTCATATCTCCG